AGCCCAGGGAAAGTAACTCATAGGAGATCAGTGGGATCTTCCTGTGGAACAAACCCAAGAGAAGCATTTTGCCATCAAAGGTAGACATATGAATTGCCATCTCCATTTCAGTTACTGGATTGTGTGGCACCAGCAAACATTATTCAAACTTTTCAACCTTGGTATCCAGTGACTGGCCTCACAAAAAGTCAGCAATAGGTCAGGTGAAGGAACCTTTGCAATCTGACTCGCAGTTCACGCAGATTAGCCCATTCTGGGGCCAGTCTGTCAGATTTGTTTGACTATGGTACGCATTACTAACCTCAAGTATCTGATACTTTGTGGCATTTAGGATACATCACATATCAAGACTTCAGTGCAAAAGTCTAAGAAATTACTTTTCTAAATGAGATAGAAGTATTTTCAAATTGTAATAGTCTACACACTTCTGAGGTTCTTAAAACAACACATTCTCAGCACTATACACTTTATTATGGTGTGAGCTAAGAGGTAACAGTAAACAGTAAAGTGTTGTAGTGCTTGTCAAAAACTGTCTCCATATTATCTGAAGTTTCCTGCTCCACAAGTTTCCTCCCTGTACAATTTTTTAATATCTTGTTTGCCTAAAGGGTAAGTTGTGCAATGCCTTCCTGTTGCCAGAACTGTTTCTTGATGTAAAGCAAGTTCCAGTTCATAACTATTTGAAATTTTATGATAGGGAAGTTATCAAAAATCTGTTTTTCTGTCTAGAGTTAATGGTCAAGTTAGTAAATATTTACCTTTAGGAAGGAGTGTATCTACAACGAGTTTACTTCATTTGCTCTTTAATGGTTTCACTGAAATATGGTGACTTTAATTCACACAATTTAACTTAATAAACTTAAATTAATTCATAATTTAAGATGTTTACTGTGGGATTCTGATATCTAGACTAGACCATAGAGTCTTTCCCTTTTTGCTTTCCCTTTCTACTATAGAATAAGCCAGAGGGAAAGCAAATCGTCCCACTGGTGGTAGGAGTGAAGCAAGCACTTGCCAACAGCTAATTTGCCAACAGCCAGTATTTGCCAGCAGCTATGGATGGGTGGTTATGTGCAACCTAAATTTCAGCAGACCAACTGAAGAAATTTATAATTGCTCACATTTTTGCATGTAGTCTGGTCCTAATCAGCGAAGGTCATTTCTGAAGTGCACAGAAAGAGAAAATGCAGAAAATGCTGAGAAACCTAGTAGCAGAGTATGGGTGAAGCAGCGCTACTCAGCTGGTTTCAAACACTATTTTTATTTTGTTCTCAGAATCCCACCCTGAGCTGGTAGCCCGGACAAGGTCTGATCCGGTAAAAGCGGTGCTAGACCGCCCTCCGCTGGCACAGCCCCGGCAGAGGACAACGGGTTGTTCATCTGTAGAGTCTGAAGGGGAAGGGGCTGAAATGAGGGGGAGGACAGACAAATGTTAATATTTGAGCAGATGGTGAGAAGAATAAGGAGTGTATGGTTCAGGTGTATTTCTCGATCCTTCACTGCTCGTGTATGACAGGGCATCAGGAGGAGCAACTCTTGAAAATCTACCTGCTGTTCTTATTTTGGGCAAGCATAGGCAGAACATCTTTCCCTTGTCTCCTTCAGTGTCTCTTCTTTGTGAAATTCCACCCGGACCTCAGTTGGTCAAAAAGTCCCTAGAAAAGGAAATAATTGAAGGAAGTTCCCTTATATTATCAAAATCATGTTTTAAAAAGTAGTTAATGAATGATAATTAATGTCTTTACAAATAGTCTATTGAAAGCAGAGAAATCAATGACCTAGCTGCCCGCGTTCATACAGAGATCATAGGCAGAATCACAGACAATGAGAAAATACAGAAAATATTTCCAAATAGTGAACAAGATCTTGTCTTCGCTAGGCATCAGCAGTGCCACAAAAGCGCCCTCTCCTTCACATCAACCTACATGTGATTTACTTGTGCTTAGAAAATGATACAGCACATGCATAATGTGGAGTCCAGTGCATGAAACTATGAAATGAGGAGGGACAGAGCTAGTCACCCAGCCTATCATGCAATCTCATTTGTCACTGCTCCTCTTTAATAAAATGTGCATTTGTGACTCATGTTATTGCATAATATTCTGTCATTAACTATCATTGTCCCAAATTTCCTCTTCAAGGCTGATACAGTGTGACATTTCACCACTTTCTTTTTGTCTCCTCCTACGTTTTTACAGTGCCCTGGGGGCTACTTCTCATGTTATCAAGAGGTACCCTACTTTTGTCCCCTACGCTTCCAAGTATTGTTCTAGCAGTGTATGTTGCCAGTCTTGTTAGGAGATAGGTACCAAACTCCTTTAAAACCCTACTTCAATAAATAAGGATTGCAATGAAGCAAGTGAAAGGTTTGCCTAAAGTGCAAGCAAATCCTTGACAAGGCATTCTTTGTTGTCATCACTATATGTAGTTAAATAAAAAAATAAAATCAAGCAAACAAATTTTAAAAAAAAACCCACAAAACAAAAAACCCCCACCAAAACAAAACAAAAAACCACAAAAACAAAAGCAAAACAAAAAAACCAAACCAAATCAAAACAAAGAAAGGAGTCTGGGCTACAGAGGGATCTGGACAGGCCGGATTCATGTGCCAAGGCCAGTTGTATGAGGTTCAACAAGGTGAAGTACTGAATCCTGCACTTGGGTAACAACAACCCTGTGCTCTGCCCCCTGACGGTCTTGAGGCAGACTGTTTGAAACACTGCCTGGCTGAAGAGGACTTGGTGATGTTGATCGACAGCAACTGAACATGAGCCAGCAGCGTGCTCAGGTGGTCAACAAGGTCAGTGGCATCCTGGCCTGTATCAGAAATAGTGTGGCAAGCAGGACCAGGGAAGTGATTGTTCCCCTGTACTTGGCACCGGTGAGGCTGCACCTCATGTCCTGTGTCCAGTTTTGGGCTCCTCACTACAAGAAGGACATCGAGGTGCTGGAGCATGTCCAGAGAAGGGCAACAGAGCTGGTGAAGGGTCTGGAGTGCAAGTCCTATGAAGAGCAGTTCATGGAGCCCGGACTGTTTAGTTGGAGAAAGGGAGGCTTCGGGGGGACTTGATTGCTCTCAACAACTATGTGAAAGGAGGTTGTAGTGAGGTGGAGGTCAGCCTCTTCTCACAGGCACCAAGTGACAGGACAAGAGGAAATGGCCTCAAGTTGCTGCAGCAGAAATTTAGATTGGCTGCTAGGAAGAATGTCTTCACTGAAAGGGTGGTTGGGCATTGGAACAAGATGCCTATGGACATGGTGGAGTGTCCCTGAAGTGTCCAAGAACTGTGTAGATGTGGCACTTAGGGACATGGTTTAGCGGTGGACTTAGTAGTGTTAAGTTAATGAGTAGACTTGATCTTAAGGGTCTTTTCCAATCTAAATGATTCCATGATCCTGTGATTTCATGAGTCTAAATTTGTCCAATAACAGAAGTGTCTGGTATCCTCTGGATGGCACAGTTTCCAAAAGCATCTAAGACACCCCAGAAATAGCAGGAAACAGTACACTCCTAACAGTGTAGGTAAATACAACCGAATATCTCAAGTTGGAAGGGATCCATATGGATGATCAAGTCCAACTTGCTCCTCCTTGAAGGATCACCTACAAATAAACCATATGTCTAAGAGTATCATCCCAAAGCTCCTTGAACACTGACAGGCTCGCTGTAATTGAGTAAAGAGGAAGAGATGTTAGAAACTGAAAGAAACCTTTGCAAAGGTCTTGCAACAAAGAAGTTCCACAACAAAATGAGGTGCTCTTACCATATGTCTTGTTTGTTCAACATTTTAAGGGGAAAATCTGATCTGGAGGGGCATTTTGTACTATCAAGACAGTTTTAAATTTACAAATAAGTTACATACAATTATACATGATTTTTCCTCTGCTACTTCAGGGAAAACTGCTGTGGACGGTGGTGAGGTGGCAAATGCAGACTCCTGCACCTGGTGAGAAATCACCCCCTGCATCAGGCTGGGGGACAACCTACTGGAAAGCAGCTCTGTAGAGAAGGACATGGGGATCCTCGTGGACAAGCTGTCTATGAGCCAGCAGTGTGCCCTTATGGACAAGAAGGCCAATGGTGTCCTAGGGTGCATTAGGAAGAGAATTGCCAGCAGGTTGAGGAAGGTGATCCTGCCCCTCTACTCAGCCCTGGTGAGGCACATCTGGAGTGCTGTGACCAGTTCTGGGATCCTCAATATAAGGGAGATATGGAGCTCCTGGACTGGGTCCAGCAGAGGGCAATGAAATGACTGGGGCACTGGAGCATCTCTTTTACAAGAAAAGGCTGAGGCAGCTGTGCCTGTTCAGGCTTGAGAAGAGACAACTGAGGGGGGATCTCATCAATGTCTGTAAGTATCCGAAGGGAGGGTGTCAAAAGGATAGAGCCAGGCTCTCGTCAGTGCTGCCAATCAACAGGACCAGGGGAAATGGGCAGAAATAGATGCAAAGGAAGTTCCCCCTGAACATGACGAAGAACTTCTTTACTGTGTGAGTGACCAAGCAGTGCAACAGACAGGTATTGCACAATTCTGTGCAGTCTGGTCTAGGAGATCCTGCTTGAGCAGGGAGGTTGAACCAGATGTCCCACTGTGGTCCCTTCCAAACTTACCCATTCTGGGACTCTGTGAGGGCATGAAGCCATTATCCCACCACTGCATCCGTGCGTTGCCCAGGAGGCTCTGCACGGCCCCAGGGACGGATCCAGTGTCACCAGGGGGGAGGAGGGAAGGAAGGAAGGAAGGAAGGAAGGAAGGAAGGAAGCAAGGAGAGAAGGAAGCAAGGAGGGAAGGAAGGAAGGGAAGGAAGGAAGGAAGCAAGGAGGGAAGGAAGAAAAGGAAGAAAAGGAAGAAAGGGAAGGAAAGGAAGGAAGTGAGAGAGGGCGGAAACCGCGGTGTGCCGTCCCATCAGGAGCAGCCTCACACCGGGGTGGAAGTGACCTCACTGCCCGGGACAGGCGGATGCGGTGAGCGCTGGATCCCCGCCGACGAGGCGGGCGAGCCTTGCGAGCAGCCAATGGCAGGGGCGGCGCCGCTTGTTGTCGCCCCGTGAGGCGGCTGCGCCCTGGGCTCGGTGCCGCCGCCGCCGCCGCCGCCGCAGGAGGAGGAGGGACCCGGGAGGCCCCAGGCCCCCGTGCCCGCTCGCCCCTCGCCGCCCTCACCGGCCCCGCAGCCCCCGCGGAGGGCGGGGAGATGCAGCCCCCGGGCGCTCAGCAGCCGCCGCTCTACGCGCCCAGCAGCGGGGACTTCACCTTCGTCTCGTCGGCGGACGCCGAAGGTGAGCGGGGGGCCGCGGGCCGGGCCTCGCTCGCTGCCCCGAGAGAAGGGCTCGGCGGGGCCGCGGGTCGGCGGGGGGCTGCCGGGCCGCCGGGGCAGGAGGGGCCTTCCCTGCCCTCCTCGCTGCCGCCCCCGGGGTTGGTGTCGTGGCTGGAGGCGGAGCGGGGTGGCCGCGGTGGCCGCTGCCCTCGGGCCGCTGCGGCGGGTGCCGCTGTCGTGTCCTGCGCGTCGCGGCAGCTCCGGCGTGGCACAGCCGGCCCCGCGAGTCGCCTCCTCCCAGGGCCGGGCCCGAGGTTGTGCCCGGACCCGACACAGCCGTGGCCAGCGCTGTCACTGACCGCTCCTCCCGCCTTGCTGGAAAATCACTCCGATGTCTGTCGGAGATGGTGTCCTGTGTTCGCGTTTGCTGTAATGCTGTGCCGAGGCGTCTGCGTCGTGTCTCGTTTCAGCACAGTCATGAGGGAGAAAAAGAAGCCTTGTGTCTAATTTAGGGGGTGAAGTGCGGCCCGCTGCCGAACTGCTGCACAAATAGCAGTGGTGCACCAGGATGCCATGTACTCCAAAACTGAACGATCAGGAGTCAACACTGTGCAAACTTATTTTGGTGGAGAGTGATCTTTTGTGCTCTCCCTATTTAAACAACAAGCATTCTGCTTTTGTGTATGTATTTAGTTACTCATACAGTTATGACTAGGGAATCATTTAAATCCTTACTCATGTGTCCCACCCTGGAAAAGAATGGCTGAAGTGGAAGAATTACTGTAAAATACCTGTTCTTTGCTGCATTTCCCAGTCCTTCTGAAGAGAAATACAAATCGACAGTTACAGTCGTGGCTGCTGGGTTTTTTCTTTTTTGCTGCTGTTTTGGTTTTTTGCTTGGTTTGTTTTTTCTTCTGCTTCACCTTGGCCTGAAAAAGCATCCAAATATCTCTGCTTTCCCCTTGGAAGTATTTGTTGGGCAATGCTGAACCCAAGCAAGTATGACCACCTTTCTGGTAGGTTGTGTTGAATCTGACTGGGCTCTGTGTTCCTTGTGAACACAAGCAAGGTGTGATCTCCTGCCTGTTCAAGTGTAGTCCTGTCCACAAAGTGCTGCACATACCTACCACAGCAAAGGAAGACATAAGCAAAGTTAAACAACTTGAAATTACAAAACTAAAGTACTGCATGTTACACTCTGATTTTTGTTTTCTAAATCTTGATCCATATGGAAAAAATAAAAAAAAAATAAACTGTTTTGTCTCCCCGTTTTATTTCCATGAGAGGCAGGAGCTGTCAGAAAGAATGCTGGAGAGGTGTTCTCAATTAAGTGCACAGATACAGTATGAAGAACATACTGTTTGTGGTTTTGCCTCTTTTACTGTTTTTTTCAAAATTAAGAGCCAAGACTGTTTTGAAAGCTGGTTTTCCACAGTGTGTGATTGAAATGAGGCATCTGAGGGACTTAAGTTTTGCTTCTGTGGTGCTGAGCCTGAGACAGCAGGAGTGAAGGCACCCAGAAGGTGCATCACCCACTAGGAAGCATCAGAGCCCTCAGTTCTTGGCAGTGCCCAGTTCCCACCATTAACCAGCTCATTCAAAGCAGATAATACAAGAGGAGGTGACCAGTTTTCCCCCCCCTTGGTTTCTGCAGCTTCATGTCTTGCAAAACAGACTTAAGATCATGTTAATAGGTTTCACAGTTCAAAAGTGTGCTTGCAGGTATCCACTGATCATTGACTGCTAAAAGGAGTCTTGGTAAATAAGGTTAGTGTTGGAGTTTCCCTTCCTCAGGATGGATTGTTAGCTGTCCCTGAGAAAGGAGAAATACATGGCTGTTTGGATGTTGTATGTGCTTAGTTAGACAGCTGCATTTATGCACAGAGAGCAAGAATGTCTCCTTGCAAAGAAGTGTTAGAAGAAACAAATATTTTTAAATGACAAAAGGGTCCCAGTGACAAGAGAAAACTGCTGAGGCTTCCTCTACCTTGATGCCCAGCCATTAAGACTTCTTTTTGTCCTCCCTCTGTAAACAGTAGAGAAAGGTTTTGCCTGAGTCTGGTGAGAACTCTCATGATTATGAAATGATTGAAAACCATTTTTGGAGAAGCTTAAATATAAGCTTGAGTGACCTATCAAGCTGATTTGGGAATGAGAATTCTGATTGATTAATTAATTGAGATATTGAGTGATCAGTGAACACTTAAGACATGATGGCTGAAGACTGTGTGAGATTCTGTCACTATACAAATTTTGTTTCTATAAAACTGTGTTGCATTTTTAAAGAAGATGTCACAAATGTAATGTGCAACTGTGGCCCGACTTACCTCTGTGAGTACATGTTTCAGAAGAACTTGCTAGATAGCTGGGTGTTTTGGGAAATTTGTGCTGAGGAACTTTTAAATTTGAAAAACACAACAATGGAAAGGCAAAAAAAGATTTTCTGTCATGAGGTGAAAAGTTGTTGTATGAGAAGGGAGTTTCTGCCTCTCAATATGTTTGTGATAAGCTTTGTACAAAAAATTATCATGTTTCTGTTTGGATAATGGAAATCCATGGTATCCTAAAGGAATAATTATTCCCCTCATGAATTTTTTCCTTCTTCAATAATTTCATTTATTTTCTGATACTATTTTGTATTTTTCATCTGTATATAACTGAATAAAACAAGCAAACAAAATTAGTATTTATTGGCGATTTTGGCACAACCAGAACATAGATAAATTGCCCTCTGTTTTGTTTAGTACTGTGGCAGAGCAAGATCATAGCATATTGAAGAGAACTCCTTGTATTTCTTATTGGCTGGAGCCTAAGGATCCCTGACAGTATTCTTTCTCTAACATTTTCAGCTGTATTAAGGGCATGCTACAAATGAAGACATCTTCAAGGGTATTCCTGTTGTGAAAAATTTCGCATAGGAACAGAGTTCTTTTGACTGTAACAATGCCACTATGCAAAAGTGTGCTCCAAAGGAGGTAGAAAATGGTCAGAAAAAATAATCCACAACTTACAGCTTGTTGAGACTATTAGTTACTTCCTTTTGTGCCTTTAAACACTTAATGATGCAGCACAAGTGGAAGCCTTTCTGTCATACCACAACACTGTGTCATAAAACAAGAGTCCCATCTAAAAGCTAAAGCCTGGTGATTTGAGACCTAACTCAACAATGGTACTATTGCATTAAAACCACGAGTATGCTTTCTAATCAGGTATCTGTTAAAGTATAATTTTATTCTATGACTTTGAATATTTCATAGTGATGACCAGCACATGTAGCTTTGTACGTCTGTTGTTTATCTTCCAGTACTTTTGAAATCAAATGGCTTTTGGCAAGACATAAAAAGATCTATATTTCTCTCCCTTTTTCTCCAAGATCTGAGTGGCTCCATAACAACTCCAGATGTTAAGTTAAATCTTGGAGGAGAATTCATCAAAGAATCTACTGCAACTACATTCCTAAGACAGAGAGGGTATGGCTGGCTTCTGGAAGTGGAAGATGATGACCCAGAAGATAACAAGCCACTCCTGTATGTTGTAATTATTTTGGGGTATCTATCTTTATTAGCTCTGTAGGAAAAACAATGGACTTGTAGCCTCTCGTTGTCCCACAGCCTTTTGCTGTAACTAGAATTCTATGTGACAGAATTGACTAATGAATGTTTTCTGGTGCAGGAATGAAAACATTATGTTTCTCACTATGAGTTTTATTTTTAGTGTAAGAGAGAGGCTTGTTATTCACTGTCAGGGAGGAAGGAAGGAGGAGGTAAACCCACATTTTATTAATCTCTATAAGTATAAAGCTTTTATAGGTTCTCTGCTTTTATCTGTTGATCCTGAATGGTTTGAAAAAATGAGATTGTATTCTTTCTATTTTTTGCACTCTCGTTGCAAGTTTCTTAATACTGTCAAAGAATCAAAGACAGTCCTGTGGAAAGATTCCTCTCAAGTAAATCTAAGCCAATTCTGTCAGTTACTCTGAAGCAAAAGCATTGTGAATCAAGGTTGTAGTAGGGATGCTGGAACCAAGGTAGCACAAACTTTATAATCTTTGATGCTGCCTTTTATTGTAAAGCTAGATTAAAAGGATGCTAGCGTTGAAAGACAGTGTCCTTGAAACTGAAAATCTCTGCATCCTTTGTTCTGTACACAGGAGTGTGATTGGCTGAAGAAAGTTTGTGTCTTAAAATTACTACGCTGCACAGTCAGGCAGCCCGGGTCTTAGTCCTTGTTCTGCACCTAAGCAACTTCATTCTCAGTGTCTCGGTGTTTTTCTGTGTGAATTAAACATAATGATGCTTTACAAAATTGAAGTGAGACAGAGAGTACTTTGGAGAACTCAGGTGAGAGTGTTGGGAGAGAAAGGATGTCTGGAGAGCTTAATAACGACGCTGCTACTTGAGAAGTACTTCAGTTTAGAGTGTGGGGAAATAGCTCCTTGTGTGAATCAGTCTGTTTCGTAAACCTCTAGCTTTTAATTAAGAAACAGACTCGTGTATTGAGGTGACAACATATGAATTCTGTCTTTTATGATTTAAAGAAAACTAGGTGTTCTAAGCTGCTGATTGCTGCAAGTGAGGAGAACACAACAGGTAAACGATCATGAAGCAGTTTTTATGCAGTTTTATGCAGTTTATGCCGTTTTGATTAGTCCCAGAACATGTGTCATAATGAAGTCTTGCAATCTGAATCCTACTAAGGCTAGAAAGAACAGCAGCCAGCTAGGGAAAGTTCACCCACGTGGTGCTACAGTGCAAATGTTTTGTTCAGTAAAGCAAGATTATTCTTTTTTACTTTCTCATTGGGCATCCTTGCTCCAGACACTTGTTTCCTCTTACAGCTACCCTCTTAGGTGAGGTAGATGTCAGCTTCATGGAAAAGACAGTTCATTCACATAAGAAACTGTCAGAAGCCCTAGAAAATGACAAAGAATTATTTCCAGACAGCAAATATTTGTGTTACACAGTCTTCAAAGTATAGGAATTCTACATCCTTTTTAGATAATTGGAGGAAAATAGATGCTTCTAGTCTACTCCTTAGATTCAGAGAGGAGAATGCTTGTTACCAGTTCTGAAGTAGCTTCAGTAATAGGAATCCAAAAATCACCTTGAGAGACTCAATGAGCACTATTTAATATTAAATAAATAAATAAATAAATAAAGACAAAGTGTGATGAACCATGTATTTGCATTTATTTCTCACTTCAGCTTTTCTGAGATGAAAAAAACAAAAATCAAAGCCTTGTACAAAACCTTCATAAATGGACTTCACAGAATTACAGAATCAACTAGGTTGGAAAAGACCTCTGAGATCATAAGTCCAACCTAACTTAGGATACGATTCTGCGTTTTTCTTCACTGTGCTCTTAAATGTAGAGCAGGATATCTTCTAGAAGTGTCTTGCAACTCTTCAGAGCTCCTCAATCATGACTGAGGTTCAGCACATAAAGAAGTGTATTACCCCTTACTTGGAAAGTCTGATTCCTTCCCATGATGCTACGACAATCAGGGCAAGATCTACTGTTAAAGAGTCTCCTGGGCAGAGTAGTCTCCTGATCCATTTATAGTTGCTTGCAGAGAGCATGTGGCAGGAAGCAGATCTGTTGATAGATTTTAGTGATAGTTTAAGTGGCTTTTATTTATTTTTGCCCGTACTGAAATCAAGCCAGAAATTAAACAACTGGCATAAACTGGACTGCTGTAAACTACTATTGGTGAAGTAAGTTAAACTCCCATTTTTATTTTAAAAAGTTGGTTTTACCTGATGTATTTGGAGTGGTGTAAGATTAGTGAATATGATGGTATTCTTTCTTGTAGAATTTGAAGTAAAATGTTTCCATAGAAAGTGTGCTCGTGGCAAACTGCTTGGCGTAGGAATACACAGACATCCTACTTTTGTGTATGTACGTCTGTGACTTTTAAGTAGTTACAATGGTACGAGTGCGTTGTGTTCTTGTGTGTCAGAAAAATAGACTCTCTGTTTTAATGCAATCTACTAGGATATTAGAATCATGAATGGTTTGGGTTGGAAGGGACCTCAGAGACTATCTAATTCCAAACTCCCTGCCATGGGCAGGGACAACTTCCACTAGACCAGGTTGCTCAGAGCCCCATCCAACCTGGCCTGGGTGTGTTGTGTATGTTTTCTATTCTCAGTCATGTAATTTATTTTTGAGTAATTAAATAAATAACTGTCACACCAGTTACTGAATGTGGGATGAAGGTATGGTGTTGCTTTATTGCAGACAAACTGTTCCTTTGCTAGTCGTGGCTTCAGGAAGCCTTGTGGGTGACAGGAGACTCGCTCTATAAACCTACTGTGTGCCCTGCACTGATTTTTTATGCTCTATTTCATTACTGTGTTTAGTAATGCTCTCCTGCTTTACAATTTCAGGGAAGAACTTGACATTGATCTGAAGGATATTTACTACAAAATTCGATGTGTGTTGATGCCTATGCCATCTCTTGGGTTCAATAGGCAGGTAGTGAGAGACAATCCAGACTTTTGGGGTCCTCTGGCAGTTGTGCTCTTCTTCTCAATGGTTTCATTATATGGACAGTTTAAGGTAGGTGTAAGTTTTCTGCCTAAAAAGAAACCTAAGCTAAATCTGGGGACATGATTACTAAGTAATTTGCATTCTTACGTACGTAGAAAGCCTTTTTTTCACATACTAATGCAGGGCATTTCAAATGCTATTTCTCAAGTTAATATGTAGAAAGACAGCAGTAAGAAATTTATTAAATAGCCCACGGATAACTTAATCATGATGTGAAATGTCAGGTTTTGTTTTTGTACAGTAAAACAAAGGAAAGATATGGTTTCTAGAGGAACCAGATTGATGCTAATGGGTTTATAGTCATAACAGTGAATCTTTCCATTTTAATTGTGACCTTTTGTTAACTTACTTTTTATTACTAAAAAATGCTACTGAAAAGCATTTGTTTGGATGCCATGAATTTTAATTAAGCTATAATAAAGCTGCTTGATTGATTCATACTATATCACTGCTGTTATCCGCTATATTTAATCTCCATTTCTGCCGTTTGCTGTTTTGTCCTCCCTACTCAGTTACAATCAAATAACTTTCCTCTGGTCAGTCGACTTTTTCCATAATTCCTTTTGAACTCTAGGGTGAGTAGATATTCAGAGGCATTGTGCGTATTTAATTGGCCCCCATGAACACTGTTACCTTTTTTCTGTATGTTCAGGTTAAAATAAAGAAGTGTTATCAATTACAGTAACAATTTGAAGTAAGTCTAGGTGATCCTGCTTTGGAAATCTTTATATGTGTGGTTACAGTTGTTTTGAATACAATGAAGTGTAGCAATAAGTCGTATGTAAATGAGCAGAAAGTGCTTATTAAAGGATTTGTGTGAATGGTGGCATAAAATTCCCTCTGAGGCCTCTGGCTTCCATATGGTGTACCAAATGCTGACTAAGAAAGACCCTTAGTATCCTGTTCCTATGAGGCTTTAAGTGAGTAGACTAAACCACTGTGTTACTCAAGTCTTCTGGGTACTTACCTGTCTCCTCAGCAAAGTGCGTGCCATTCCTTGACGCTGTGACAGATGAGCTACCTCCTGCAGCTGGTGTACCTCCTGTACAGGAACACTAGGTCTACTCTTTCTTAGGAGCAGTGGATTTACCATAGGAATACAAAAGCGCCATGTATGAGTGAGGAGGGAAAGCTGGCAGCTAGCAGCAGGATGACTGACTGCAGCTAGACTGGGTGAACTGAATGGTGGGCTGTAAACCTGGAGAGAGAGGAACACTCCTGCTCTGAGACTTTGTTCTCATCCTCGTCTTTTAGGCAGTGGAGGAAAGCAGGAAGTAAAAGGAGGCCATGTTCTATTTTCCCAAATAGCATAAAGCCAATATTTAGGTTTTTTTAAGTGGTGCTGTGATTTTTCTATCTTTTTCCCTATTTCATTCTTCTGGAAATCTGGAATTTTCAATTAAGCAAAATATTGAATTGAGTACTAACTCAATTTTTTAAGTTCAGTAAATGTACATTTGGAAATATAGAGACTGTACCGATACTGTTGTTTCCTTCTAAAAAGGCATTTCAAAAAGGAGAGCTTCATTTCTAGTTCTCCCAGTGACTCAACTCCAAAAATAGCTAAGTTACTTTGAAGCCAGAGAATGATTTTAAGGTTTCTTCTTTAGCTTAAGAGCAGAACTATAAAAGAAGCAAGAAAAAATAATGACAGGTTGGGTCCCAGGAGTCTAGGGCTTTTTGCTAAGTTGTAATCATCACCAAGTTCCACTGAGAACTGAAGTCCTTTGTCTTCCTTGAGTAAAGAATAAAGTGGCATCTTTAAGGGTGGAAGAAGGAAAATTCCAACTCCTTGTATTGGTTGGGCTGACATTAACAACTGTCTGAGCCCGCATTTTGTAATAGGTGGGATGTGAAGACATTTAGGGTACTTTTAGCTAAACTTCCTATTCCTATTGCAATACTTACAAAACACATTGCATGTGCATTGCATGTACACCAAATTTACCATAAACGTGATTCTGTAAATGTAACTTCTTAATTTTATTTGCAAATTGCATTGTGCTACTAAGTAAAAGTATTCTTGCTGCAATTCAGAATTAAGTTTTGCATAATAAAATCCTTGACTGCAGTGAAAGTGATTAATGGAAATGAGTTTTCCTTTCTGACAATGAAAATGATTCATATAAATGAATTGTTCTTTATCTCTTCAGGTTGTTTCTTGGATTATAACTATTTGGATATTTGGATCCTTGACAATTTTTTTACTGGCCAGAGTTCTTGGAGGAGAGGTAAGTACCTCTGGGGGAAAAGGATGTAGAGGGAGGTAATATGAAGTCTCTTGGTTACATTTTTCAGCAGTAGTTGAGTTTTCTTGGTGCTTGGCTTTGGACCTTGTAGCCAGCTAAGAATGGATGCAGTTGGTAAGTGTAAAGTTAACATTTCAGGTTTTTGGCCTCCAAAATATGGAAGTAGTCAGTTAATCTTTCTGTGAAATGGATGGTGTGCTTAGAAGCGTTAAACAACCTGGAAGTTTGTACTGTGAGTCCCAGAAATTCTAATAGCTTCCTGTGATCCAGAACTGAAGTCCATTCTTGAGGGACAAGTGCTTTCAGTTTTTTGGTCACTGGCCTAAATGGGACCCTTTCTCCTCCTTTGCACTGTTTGTGCACCATACTTTATTTATTTTCTTTTTTTTTTTTTTTTAGCGGGGGCTAACAGCAGTTTTGTGATGGCCTTGTGAGTAAAGCACCTACCAGTGTTTGTTTTCATCCTTAGCCTGATGCAGTTCAAACCCGTTAAAGGATGAAAGCCAATGCATATTCCTCAACTGCAAAGTCAGTTGAAGTTTGGGCCTGCACCCCTTCCTCCAGCTGCTTTCACCAGCAGAGTTGGAGTAGCTGCTTGAGTTGTTTACAAATTGAGTCACTAAGCGATTTAGGGTAAACAACAAAAAATAACTTTGAGCCAGGCCCACAGACAGCTACAGTGTAACTGTCAAGAGGGTAGAACTTCTTAAAATATATTTACAGAGTAAAATGCATTGAACTGTGTCATGAAGAACTAAATATTCAGTGATGATTGATTTTTATGTTTTTACTATGCATCTTGCATTAATGATGCACTACTGTTGCAGACTTCCTATATTATTTACTCTGAATTTTTTAGATTTTCCTTTTAATCATAATTACTAGAGTCTTCTTGTGTGAACAGTGTTTTGAAAGAAAAAGCTATTATAAATGTCATTGTATTGTATTTCTGCCTGTCAACACAATCTAGATGCCCTTAAATCAATCTGTTTTGTGGCTCACAATGTGAAATTATCAGAGCATATAAACTGGGGAGAAAGTACAGGTCTGCAGAGCTCGCTGTGAGCGATCATTGTCAACAAGAGAGTGCTTGCAATATCCCACTATTTTTCCTGTTAAATCCAAGAAGCCCAGCTGGGCCCAGGAACATTTCGAACTCCAGCAGAGGGAAATCAGACACTTCATTCTGAAGCTAAAAGTAGTTATGGAAATACTTTGAACAACTCTGTTCAAGATAGTCATAATAAATTTATGCTGGAAATCAGAAGAATTCTGTGCCTTAGAGGGATCAAGGTCTAGGTCTTCCACTGGCACCCAAAGCATTCATGTACTTTATGTATTTATTTATTTATAATGGATATGAGTATGTTAATGCAGAAAATTATGTTTTTGCTGCTTGTGACAACCTGAGAGGTCTGTTGCAGTTCTGTGCTCCTAGGTACCAAATGTACACTGCTTGGAGAGTACCAGTTGAGAATTATTTAAGGCAGAACATGAAAATATGAGGGGTGGGTGGATTTACGTATTTAACCTGTGTAATACTCCCTTCTAAAGGGATCATTTACAGTGTCTAAAAACAACAACAAAAAAAGACAAGGTATTTCTAATTCTAGGAGGTAGCGTACAAAAACAATTTTCACACTAGCAAGCTTCCATTAGCTGAAATTTCATGAATACCTAACACATTATTATCATTATTCACAGTGTTATAACAAGATCAAATTGTATTTGGTGGCAAAAATTGAGTACTGTAAAGTTTATTTATATGTGCTTGATAATTTCAGGTTGCTTATGGCCAAGTTCTTGGTGTAATAGGATATTCCCTACTTCCCCTCATTGTCATAGCACCTGTACTTTTGGTGGTTGGATCATTTGAAGTTGTTTCTACCCTAATAAAAGTAAGTTCATATCATCTACTGAGAATTGTTTAGTTAATTTTAAGTCACTTTCCTAACACTTCAAGTAATAATCTCTTCAGAAAAACATAACGATGTGTCAGAATTTTTAGAACTACAATGTGAGCTCTGTGATCCTTTTGTTTAGCATGGTGGAAGGTGAATTTTGTCTTAAATGCTCCTGAGCGCTTGGGGATATACAGAGCTGTTGCTATAACAACACCTGTTGTTACTAGGCTAGCTTATATTTAAGTATTTTGCTATGCTCTAATAGTTGCATTTAAAAAAAAAGGATTCTCATTCTGACAGGAGGATGCATAATTAAACCTCAGAATGGAGAACCTGAAAATAAGCTCTCCTATCCCTTCCCCCAGCATCCAATTTATTTTTAGTCGCTCTAGCATGAATATGGCATTAGTCATTGTTCTGAGACCTTCCCATGGTATAGCGGTACAAAACTCTCAGTACCCTTTGCAGAGGAGGTAAGTGTTGTTCTGATTTACGGTTGTGGAATGTGAGGCACGAGAATAACGTCTCCGATACCACCTGCTGCTGGACACCTTTTATGAAACCAGCAACGTTCCCTGATAGAACTGCATAATGTTCTTGAACACTTCCAGTACTTCTTAAAACGCTTTTGGGGAGCCTTTGAACTTACTGATGAACTTCTGGAAAGGTGAACTGGGAAAATTCTATTACAAGCTGAGCTGTCTGCTTTTGGGGCGTTTATTCTGTTGGTTTGGTTATTTCTGTCCTTCTAACTTGCTGGTAAACAGTATAATTGAAATATAACTCAAGTGTATGATAAGTGAAAAAATTGCTGCATTTGTGATTTTATAACTTGCAATTACTGTTAAGTGATAGTCAAAAAATAAATCATTAACTGGCCAGTTAACTAATATATAACTTGAAAATAAATATATGTTAATGAAACCTCTGTTACTTGATTACTATTAACAGTCTTATATTACTGACGGGGTGAATCTCTGTGAGGTTCTTGCCTTTGCACCATAAGTATGAAAATGCATTACAAGCCCCATATGGCGAAAACTACTTAAGCTGTGACAAATACTACTTCTTAGGGCTCTGTGCTTGGGAAAAATTTCACAGCCCTGAAGTTGGGAACTTGAAGTGAAATAGGGAAATTCCAGCCAGTTCTTTTCCAGTTGCAATCAGTGCACCTCAATTGCTTTAACTGCTACAGTTTTCCTAAAGTATCTTAGGGAATTCAGTCACGATCTTGATTGTTCTTCCTGTCCATCACTGCAGCCTCGGGTAAGGCAGCAAAATCAGAACTGTGCAATTTGGAGGTGGTGGGTTAGGGTTTTCTGGTTGGGTTTTTGGGGTGGTTTTGTTTGTTTGGGTTTTGCTGGCGTTTATTGTTTGTTTTGTTTTGGTGGGGTTTGTGGTTTGTTTGGTTGGTTTTTGTTTTTGTTAATTTTTTTTTTGTTTTGTGTTTTTTGGTTTTTGGTTTTGGTTTGGTTTGGGTTTTTTGTTATAGTGGTTGTTAAATGGGCCACATGATCCCTCGAGGGCTTCAGCTTCTCTGACAGAACTGTGGAAAAAGTTCCTTGCTGGGGTCCTATTCTGTCTGCCATTGTTATTTTGCAGAAGAGTATAGTGGTTTTGCATACCACTCAGTTTTAAGTATTTTTCCTTCTTTATTAATATTCAGGGTGCTGCTAGAGGATAATAATGTCTGATTTCTTTTTCCTCTAATCTTGTTAGTTTGAAGTTTGAGTCAAGTTCTCTAACTTCAAGACATTTTTTCTTGAAAAGCATGCATGCTGACTTCATAAAACTTAGTGGATATTCATAACTTATATTACTTCCTACCAGTCTTTTAAGCTGGTTCTACCTCAATTTAGTAAGCAATATAGTCTCTGATAAAGGTTGTATTTTGGCCGGCTTCTCACTGCACCTGAGAGGAATAGGAGTATGAGGTTCAGTTATCTTGAGGTGGGGGCACCATAAGGAAAGAAAAGTTTATGAGCCAAATGAATCCTGAAATAAAAAATGTTAATTTTAACCCTCTGGTGTATGTTGTAGGAAGAAGTATCAAGTATAGTAACTCTTTTGCTTGAAGGCGTGTGTGGGGTAATAGTTGAGGACGCTCAAGGTAGAAAGAAATTTAATACAGTGAGGTTTCAAATGATTGGTGTGTGTAAGATTACAGCTTACAGCTTGCTTTGTGATATCTGTATGTCTTAGACATAGAAAACTTACTGTAGATCCTTAGCTGCTCACTTCAGTAAAACTGTCTCCAGTGAAAATAACATGCTCTGTTTGTCTAAACTTCAATGAAAATGCGTGGTATAGACTTTTTGTGTGTGGAGTTCTTCCCCCCAAAATTATTATTATGATTATTAAATTGAGAGAACTGATTTTTATTGTGGTATTTGGAGAGACTTTCTCGTGTTGTCAGCTAAGACTGTTCATCTTCTTTTTCAGCTGTTCGGAGTCTTTTGGGCTGCATACAGTGCTGCATCATTACTAGTTGGAGAAGAATTCAAGACCAAGAAACCCCTTCTAATTTATCCAATCTTTTTATTATACATTTATTTTCTGTCCTTGTACACTGGGGTGTGATCTAGTGTTAAGATGGGGCCAGAAACCATATTTTAGTCACTTGCAGACTGATAATGCGTAAGATTGAGGAGACTGGAGATAATACAAGTGACTGTTTTGTATCCAGTTGTCAAGATGTTTTAAGATCGAAGAGCATATTTGTGTATATTATTTAATGAAGCAATTGTAGCTATATAGATTTGTATCAAAGTTCTAGGTTTGTTTAGGACTCTTCAGATTTTAATGAACAAAATAAAAAACCCTTGTGTTTTATAACAAAGCGTAGCAAAACCACAACTCAATACCTGTGCCAAAAGCACTGGGACCATATTACTATGTTCAAGAAGAAAAAATGAGAAGCTAACTGTAACAATCTCAAAGTGCAATTTTTCTTTTGAGTTTAAACACAGCTGGCTTTTTTTGGCACAGCAAATTCTGTAGATAATATATATTTATGAAACGGTCCTGATTGTTCACAGAATAGTCTGTATAATCAAGACAAGAAGATACTACTTTTAATTTAGTGCCTCAATTACTTTGATTTGGCTGTTGAGTTTTTATAAATTCCAATTTGTTTTCAAAACATGTATATACTGTGTATTTTGTATCTATGGCTTGTGTGTACCGTAAATACTCCTTGGTTAAGGATGTATATTGGATTTTTAAAAATTGAAGATACAAATATTTGAATTCTTCATTTACTATCTCTGACCAAAGGAGCAAGATATTTACAGTGTGACATAATTAATTAAAATGCATATTTAGAGAATCAAATTATTTTACTTAAAAGTATAAATTTACGGAGAAATGGGTGAACACCTTTCTCAACTCTAGTGCTGGCTTAGTGTTGGAGAAAAAAGATGATCTATCAAATTTGTGTGATCTTTAAACAATGTTATTTTATGATGACAAAATAAAAATAATGCTTCCCTAACTATGTTTTACAACATCTTGCTCTGTTTTGCTTTTAATAGCACGGTATTTAACACACATCCATTTTTTTCCTCACCAATACTCTTGATCCCTTGTAAAGAGAAATAAAGATTTGGAAGGCCAGTTTCTCCCTCCACTAAACAAGGGAGAGTTACAGCCTTAGTAACAGTTACAGGCTTGCTAATTTTGACTCTCCAAGGATTATGTAATAATGTGATGACATGTTAAATATTTCCTGTGTACTGTGTTGATTGCTTATGTAATGGTCCTTATGGTAAGATTTCTTCACAAGGGAAGTCCCCTGAAGTTCACTTTGCATGGTACTAACTTAGGCATTTGCAATCTTCAGTATTTGGTATCAACAGATAGATCTCAAGTTTCTAAATTATTTTTTTTTGGTAACAGGAAAAAAGTGTTTTCCATTTCCCCCCATCAGCCATGACAAGGTAATAGCAAGGGCTGTCTGTCTTTGGTCCCTGATGGACTTATTTCCATATCAGAACTGTAGTTTTTCAGCTTTTTAGACTCTTGAACTTGCCATCTTGGTAACTTATATTTACCAGTCATTACTGATACAAAATATATAATTAAATTTCAACTCTCTCACAAACCTTTTCCTTATTCAGTCTGCTTTCCTGGCTGATGCTTGTGTTGTTTTTAAACAGAAGTACTTGATGCTGGATATAAATTTAGTGGAATACTCGAGCTTGTAATATATAAAAGGAGAAAAACTGGTAGAGCAATGGATTTTTCACCTGGTTTTTGACTTCTGCAGAAGTTCTGGTAGAATTACTGCCGAGTCATACTGAACCAATTTATACCAGCAGCTTAGCTCTTATCTACAAGTATTTTAAGAGCGTTCATACCACATTCTTAAAAAAAAAAAAAAAAAAAAAAAAGGCAAGTTATAGTGTCTTTTTAAAAAAAGCATATTAGTTTTGGAATCTTGCATGATAACCTGGTCTTACCTCACTTTTCCATTACTTACATTGCTTTTTTTAACAGGAATATGCAAGTAGTATTACGAGACTCCACCCAGACCCTGTAAATACATGTTTAACTACCATCCCCACAAAGGTGAGGGGCAAGGACGTATTTAGGTTACTGGGCTGCCAGAGAGCTGTAAGCTTAGTTCCTCTTTGCGTAGTTGTTCGTGGGGAGTCCTTAATGGATCCTTTGTATCTGAAATGGCCATGAATATTGAAAGGATGCAAGAACATTCTATTGAATCTCCAAGTATCTCGATTTCCTCTACATTAATTTTCTGTGAAATTTATAGCTGCAGTTTTAACTGTTCCTTTCCACAGACTTGGCACATGTGTAATATGCAATGTAGATATGCACTTAACATGGTACATATTTTGTACACAATTGCAGGTTTGCACCTTTTAATCTTAGTATCTCGAGGGTCACCTTTTGCATATGCTGTGCAAGAAATATGTACAAACAACTCTCAGATGGTTCTGATAGTTTGTAATAACTTTGCATTCAACAAACTCATATTTTTAGATGAGGTATGTGTGTAAATACAAGATGTATTTTATAAAAGTTTTGAATTAAACTTGTTTACAGAATGTATGAAGCTCATTTATATTTACTGAATTAATACTGAATAATTAATATTGGTGAATTAAGACACATCTCTATTCCTATACATATCACTGATACATATCAATGCTATACATAGCATCAATAGCTTTGAGGCTATGAAGAAGCTCTGTGATAATATATATACTGTTTCAGTCTGTCAAAACTGGAAACTTAGAGCATATTCATCTAGCAAAAAAGTTGCCTTTCTAAGATGCATCACCTTTTTTGAGGTGGAAACATGGGTATCACACCTTAGATGTGCTTTTGGGATGATCTCTATAGAGCAGCTAGGTATGTACATAGTTTTTTCCCTCTTCTACCCATCAGACATACTCTGCTGTGCATCAGAAAAGTTACGCTTACTTGAAAAGTGTATGAAACCAATAACAACAATACAGCTTGAGATCTGCTGTAAATGTTATCACTACCCCTCGTGCTTTTCTTGAAGTAGTAAAGCAGGCTTAAAAGCTGCTTATTTTACTCCCAGGACAATTTTGATTAGCCTGGATGGCACACATACTTGTGGGTTCGGTTTTGTTCTTTTAGTTTTTCTTTACACGTTGTATTTCTTAAATCATTTTCTTGCCACAGTAGTCTCTGCTAATTTGGGTCCTTCTAATAAAAATATTCTGTAGGAAACTTAATTATATTTGAAAAATATATTTACGACCATCAGTAGCCTAAAAACATTATGAAATATTTTAGTATTAACATGTCACTTAGGTAAAATACTGATTATGGAAGATGAAAAGTAATGCACCCTGTTAGGCCGAGCTATGCGAACTGCACCGGCATTCTAGTGGGTGAAAAGGGAAAATCTTAACAAAATACAAAAGGTTTTATTAAACTTAAGTCATTTTTGAAGCACTGCTTCAGAGCAAAATGCTGCCACAGCTGCAATGACCCGGGGCCAGGGACACCCTTCCCGCGGGCCGAGCGCATTCCGGGAGGGAGCCGTGGCATTGCGGCTCCGTCCCTCGGTACCAGCGCTGGAGGCCGCTCGCACCGGGGCTTGCTCGCATCGCTCGCGTACAAAACCAGGCTTGGAGCCGGCGTGGGAAACGCAAATCCCCGCTCCGGTTTCCCCGAGGAGGGGAGGGGTGGGGGGCGACCAACGCGCTTGCCCGCCTACGAGCCAGCTTATGTCCGAAGCCGTAACGACACGGCCGCGACGAGGGCCGGGGACAGCCGGGGGCCGGGGACAGCCGAGGGCCCGGGAGAGCCGAGGGCCCGGGACAGCCGAGGGCCCGGGACAGCCGAGGGCCCGGGACAGCCGAAGGCGGGCTGGCCGCGCTGCAGCCCCGCCGGGCATGAAGGGGGCGCGGAGCAGCCCCCTCGCTCCTCCCGGCCCCGCTCCCCGCCCCTCACAGGACCCGCTCCCGCCCCCTCCCTCCTGCGCGGGGGCTCGCGCGGGCGCGCGCGCACAGCGTAGCCCCGCCCCCCCCTCGCGCCGGGCCTGCCCGCGCGGAGCGGCCCCCCCGCCCCGCCCCTCCCCTCCCGGGCCGGGCGATCGGTTCCGCATCCGGCGCGGTTGTGTCACTTCCCGCTCACGCGGGCGCTCCCGCTGCCGTTCCCTGCTCCCGGACCCGGATGGTGGCTGGCGGCGGCCGCGGCGGATCCAGGGACTGTCACTGAGCGGCTCCCCCCGCGCCTCTTGTCCTGAGGGCGGCGGCGGCGGCGGCCGCGAAGATGGCTGCGGCGGCCTCCTGCTCCTCGGCCGCGGCGGCGGCGGCGGCGGCGGCGGGGCCCGGGCCCGGCCCGGGCTCCTGCGAGTGGCTGCTGCTGCGGGACGGCTGCCTGCGCTGCGACGCCGACGGGCTCTGCAGCCTCTGCTACCACCCGGCGCTCAACGCCATCCTGGCCGTGACCGCGCGCGGCGCCATCAAAGTCATCGATGGCACCTCGGGGGCCACGCTGCAGGCGTCCGCGCTCGGCGGTGAGCCCGCACCGGCACAGGGGTCGCGGCGGGCGGGGCAGCCTCGGGAGGGAGAGGCCTGGCTCGGCTCGGCCCCGTGGTGTGTAGGAGTCCCCCCGGCTCTTTGTCGCCCCTCCTTGTTTTTCCGGCCTGAACGGCCTTCCCTGCCCGGGGAGGTGGTGGAGTCTCTGTCCCCGGGGGCGTTTAAGGAAAGGCTGGACGTGGCACCCGGTGCCGTGCTCTGGGTGAGATGGTGGTGTTTTCGGCCGTAGGCTGAGACTCGGGCATCTCAGAGGTCTTTTCCAACCTAATTGGTTCTGTGTTCTACTCTCTTAGGCAGAGATACTCGTGTAGACAGTGCCGAGGTTCTTTTTTTTTTTCTGTAAAATGTGTTGGCGTGGTTACTAAAAGATTAAATGGGGACGAAAGGTTGTGGTGTATAGGACCGCGTTTTTATTTTAGCTCTTCAGGTGTTCTTGTGGGTCACATAATGTTGAACCCTCGAAAGACTGGAAGCAGCATGTTAGGCAGGACAGGCACAGTGCTAGTTCTAATGGATATGTGATACTGCAGTAATTTATTTATTGAGCCTTACTCTGGGTTTGTTAAGAAGGCTTACTTCTCAAAAGTGTCATTTGTCTTACTGCTTAGAATTATTTAAGATCAGAATGCTTCATAGTTATTTGATGATACATTTTTATATAGATTGGGATAGTTCTTCAGGCTGCTGAGTATCCTGACTGTCTCTGGTGCTAGTAATAGTATCCCTGCTATTGTGTTCGGGAGGCACGATTATGGACTGACTTAGTGGAGGGCTGACTGTAGCATCTCCATAACTATGAAGCGACTTTCTGTGTTGACCATTAGTGTTCTTACACTGTTGCTAAACTGTGTCTGTTGAAAAATATCCACATGCAATTAACAGCTTTTGTTCCTTGTTCATTAATGATCCTTGAACTGTGGTACTTGGCCGAATATTGATGGAGTGTTGGTTAGAGTTATTTCACATGTTGTGAGCCCAAGCCTTGGCACAGAAAGATACACTTCTTACCAGTTGTTTGTTTCCACGTTCAGGTTCTTACAGTTGTGTCTTGCTAATAAGATGTAGCTTTGAGTGGTGTTGATGAAAGGTGGTTTGGTGCCAGATCGTGGTACAGTAATGCCAAGAACTGTATGGGGATGCCATGGTCTGTGCAGTCTGTATGTTTTCATCCTGAAATCCAGCAACTGTGTTGCAATGTCAAACTGAAGAGAACAGGATAAAAACTGGCGATTTCCTTTCAGAAGTTAAGTTGTGTGTAAAGGTTAAGCATTTGGGGCAACTAAAAGGAAGGTTTTGTGGAATTATTAAGAAGGTGCCAGCTGCTTTTATTGTCAGCTGCTTGTATGGAAAATGAAGCTCTTGTGTGGTGTTTCCTGCATTGTTCAGGGTTCAGATCACTCTGCTTCTGTAATTCCCTTTCTTCTACCATACTGTCTCCTAACGTGCTTTTTTTATTAATAACT